GTGCTGCTGAGGTCATTAGCCTTCTTCCAATAAGCAACACCTGCCCCTTTCTTACAGCTCTCCATTACAGCTGGCCCCAGAGAATCCCAGAGGCATCCACGCCAGGGAAGCAAAGGGAGAGCTCTCCGGGTGTGAAACATAACACCAAAAGCTGTTTTGTTCTTGTAAAGGCGCGAGTCCTGCTGCTTTGATTCTACTTTCACAGTTCAGCATTCACTTTCTCAACTCCTGCTCTGTTTCCAGGCAATAGGCTTCAGATTCCCAGAAAAATCTGGTAGGTAAGGTGGAGAAACCAGAAGCAAACTATGATGCCAGCCCCAGATTAACTCAATGGCTTGCTATGAGTTCTTGACTATGAAGTTTAAAGAAATGTTTACAGCTGCTTCTCTATGATACCCCCAAGGGAAGGAGGCTCAGCTATTCCACAGAATTTTGAAATGTGGACAAACTTGGAGATGGTCTCTTCCCATGTCTTGTTCTTAGAGGTCTGAGCCTGTCGTGGGCTTTTCTTGCCCTTGTGTGTTCAGTGGCCCCATTTCATTTGGGGACCTTCCCTGCTGTCCTGCCATCTGGTCCTGGTGGGGCTGTCACCACTCTGTCCTCCTCTCTCCCTTGCAAGGGGGCAGGCCTGTGACCCAGGCGGGGCCCTCCCTCATTGATGGAGGAGCCGGGGCTGCAAGCAATCTTCTCATTTGGAAGGAACCAGACTGAGTGAAGCCAAGCAGAGCCAAGCAGAGTCAAGCATCAGAGCCTTGATGACATTATCTGTACTTCTGGACTCAGGCATGTTTTCCTATTTGCATATGAATGGTATCCCACGATAAACACGGTTCTGCACTTCGCTTATTTTTTCTTTTCATTAGACAACATATACTTGAGGGGTGCCTGGGTGGCTCAGTCGTTAAGCGTCTGCCTTCGGCTCAGGTCATGATCCCGGGGTCCTGGGATCGAGCAAGCCCTGCATCAGGCTCCCTGCTCCGCGGGAAGCTTGCTTCTCCCTCTCCCACTTCCCCTGCTTGTGTTCCCTCTCTCGCTGTGTCTCTTTCTGTCAAATAAATAAAAATCTTTAAAAAAAAAAAACAAAACCCCCCAACATATCCTTGAGATTACTCCATATCAGTGTATGGAGAGCACCCCCACTTATTCTTAAAATTACACAGTACTTCATTGTGTGGTTGTCTCAATCACTGATTCAACCACTTCTCTATTGATGGCCATCTGGGGTTATTTCCAATCTTTCAATATTTTCAAATGCACAAGGCTTCATATTTTCCTGTAGCTGTTAGTCTTAGAAGTGGGATTACTGGATTATCATATCAATGTAATTTGATATGGACACGGACCAATTCTTCTCCACAGGGATTATTTTGCACGCTCACTAGCAATGGGGGAAAATTTTGTGTCTCCACAATCTGGCCAACAGAATATGTCATCAAACTTCTGGCTTTTTTCTCTCCAGCATTCTAATCCTGTTCTCTCAAGTCTTGCCCTCCTTGGAAGGCATCGCAGCTTCTCACCAACATCTATTGCATCCACTTGATAAGACTGTGGAACATTCACGGAGGTTATGTTCTAGAGATGCTGGCAAACCAAACCTAGAGTGGGTGGAGGACTCAAAAGGACACAAAAGAAGTGGCAAAACTTGCAAAGCGTCTTATCTCTGTTTTGAATTGGCCACTAGAGCCTTCTGCTCATATGGCATCGAACGGAGTAAGTTATGTGGTCAAGTGTAATATCACTGGGGCAGGAACATTTATTCCTCCTGAAGGGGAGGAAGTGAATATCTGCTGAATAATAATGAATGTGCCATACTCCTCCATCCTGAAAAAGTTAGCTGAAACCAAAGAATGCTGCAGTAAATGCAGTATCAGCACTGCAATTAAAGGGAGGGTAGTTTTTAGGCAAGTGGCTGAACCTGAGACTTATGTCTGAAATCAAGACTCTGAAATGAGGATAAAGTGGTCTCAGGGTGGTAGTGCCCCTGGTCTTAGAAGCAAACACAAATCCACTTTGGATTCCCATAGACTAAGATTAACCAAATAAATTGACAACCACATTAATTTACGATAAACACACATGGCATGAAGTCACGATGGGTGAGCATCAGCAGAAACCAGAAGAGACACATTCCAAACTTTTACATATTGGAATTAGCAAAGAATAAAAATTAGTTATGACTTGTTTAATGAAGTAAAGTTTGGAAACAAAATAAGAAACTATCAAGAATGATGAGGCTGATTACAAAAATAGAACTTTTAGATATGAAAAACATAATTATTGAATGAAAAACTCAATTGATGGGCTAAACAAAAAAACTAGACTCAACTAAATAGTTACTTAGCAAAACAGAAGAGAGATCTGCATAAATCCCTTAGAATGCAGCACAGACAGACAAGGAGGTGGGATATGTTAAAGAGCGTAAGAGATACTGACAATAGAATGAGAAAGTCTACATGTGGTCATTTGGAATCCCAGAGGGACAAATATCGAGAATGGAAAAAGAGCAATATCTGAAGAGATGAAAGCTGAGCACTTGCCAGAAATAATAAAAAAACTTAAATCCACAGATAAGGCGCAAAGTAGGTTAGGCAGGATAAGTAAGAGGAAAACCAGGTATAAACAAATTATAGAAAGTTCAGAACAACAATGAAAAGCAGTTAAAGATAAAACAAATGACCTACACAGGAACAATAATTAGACTAAGAGGTGCCCATTCATCATTAGCAATGGAAGCCAGAAATCAGAGGAATAGCATTTGCAAAGTATAGAGAATGAGACCGTCCTTTTACCTTGGATAAGACTATGGAGTTTTTCTTAAGGGTTGTCCTGACCCCCAGTTGCCCCCAAAATTATTCACAAACTCAAGACTTTAGAGGGGTGGGGTTGGGTAGGTTGATGACACTAGTCACATGGATAGTAATACCATGGAAAGAGCTAATAAAAAGTAGTGTTTTAAGCTTCTTCTTTTGTTCAGATGGGGGATTAAGATGCTAACTTTCGATTTGTGAAGTTAGGCATGCATATAAAATGGTAAAAGTAAACAGTAAAAGAATAGAAATGCAACAATTAACATCCCAACTGGGAGAGGGAAACAAATATAATAAAACAACAGCATAATTCAATAAAAAGATTCATTTAAAAATAAGGGAAAGTCCAGTAAAAATGTGGAAACAAATCTAGCTATTTTAGAAATATTATTTAAAAAGGAAAATAGCTAGGGGCGCCTGGGTGGCTCAGTCAGTTAAGTGTCTGCCTTTGGCTCAGGTCATGATCCCAGGGTCCTGGGATGGAGCCCCATAGCGGGCTCCTTGCTCAGGGGAGGAGTCTGCTTCTCCCTCTCCCCCTGCCACTCGCCCTGCTTGTGATCTCTCTCTCTCTCTCAAATAAATAAATAAAATCTAAAAAAAAAAAAAAAAAGGAAAATAGCTAATATAGCCAGTTAAGAGGCAAGTGTTTAGTCACACTGGGGAAAAAAATAGGAATCCGATATCTACGTCTCAGATATTTTTGGAGCTCTAGAATGAAGAGCACATAGGGGCAAGATGTGGTTCTTAAAAAGCTTAGCTATTTTTATACACAAAGATTAGTTATTTACAAGCCTCTCTTTGTTACCCATCTCTATACTCCTCAACAATTTGAAGCATGGTTTATTTCCACGTGTAATCATAAACACCTTAAATTTGTGAGCTTTCTCTATGTGTCAATGAATGCAGCTAAGTTCCAAGATAACACCAGTTTTTACAGGTACGTGGCCATCTTCAAAGGACTGTTTCATGGGCTTTGTTTTTAAAGAACCCAAGTCACCAAAAAATTGAGAAAAATGTAGTGTTATTTATATGAAATTTATGCAAATATGTGACACTGTGTATTCAGCTTTGGGTACTTCCCAGGCTTGATTAAGATACACATAGTTAGCTAAACCAACTCAATTTGTAAAGAGGCTTAACATTAAAATATTTCCTATTTGTGATTACCCGTTGTACTTTAAAATCATTCTTGCTAATTTTTCATTTCTGATGACCCAATGAAGAGCATTTACCAAACACCCACAGTATCAAATCTTAGATGTTTAAAGCAGCCTCCAAAGTGAACAGAATGGAACAAATTCTAGAGAACAACCTACAAGTCAGGTTCTATGAAATTGTTGGGTAGATGGGAACCTGACTGGAGAATGCAACAACAGTTTGGATGAGAATGCCAAATAGTTTGTCTTAAGGGTTGTCCTCCCTGCACTATCCCCCCCCCCCCCCAAAAAAAAACCCTGGATTGCTATTCTGAGTCTTCCAAGTGGTGGAGCACAAGAAGAACTGATCAGCAATACTAGTCACATTAAATGTATTTGTTTACATCCTATCTCCTTCCACAAAGGATTTGAGTATGTTTATAATAAGCAATTTTGTCTAAATTTAAAAAATCAGGATCATAGAAAATATGTAAAGAGTAGGAATATTTATCTAGGCTAGAGATCCCTAAATTTTGCTGTACCTTAGATAGAATCACCTGGAGAGCCTCTAAAAATCCTGATGCCCACGTGGTACCCCACATCAAATAGATCAGTGTATGGGGGAGGGGGGTAGAGAATAATAGTTTTACAGCTTCCCTGAGTGTTCCTGTGTGCAGTTCCTATGTGCAGTAAAGTTTGGGAACCACTGGCAGAGAAAATACACATTAGCATCACCTGGGAAACCATTGAAACTACTGATGCCTGAGCTCCTACCCTGAACCAGTGTAATCACAGTCTCCTACACTGGCAACTGAGCGCTTGGTACTGGGCACTGGGTAATTTTAAAGCTCCCCAGATGGTGACAATGTGCCTTCAGCATAGAGAACCACTGCACTGGGGGAAACCCGTACGTATTTACAAAGGGGACTGATTTCATTTTTTATACGTTCTTTTATGGCTTAAGGCCATAAAGTTGGTCCTGAGTTTCCTGGTGGCCAAAGTAAATAGAAAAACAATCATTTGAAATTGTTCTTGTCACCCATTTGTAAAAGCTTACCAGTTCCTTGGAAGAAAGAAAGCTTTTCTTCATAGGTCTGAAACATCTTGTTTGAGTCTTCTTACAGGGGCCATTGAATGATGTTATGGATCACAGTTTTATAAACACCCCTACAATAAATGACATATGGCAAGTTTCATATTGTCGTTTCTAATTGCCATCCCTGAGCAAAAGCCAAGGATATGACCCAAGAGTGCCAGAGATGCAGGCTGTTGGGGTGGGGGCGTGGGAGCAGGACCGATGAAGAGAGGATGAGAGGAAGTATGACACACCTCTACATTTCCCGAAAAATTACGGCTTCCCCCAGAGATAAAGTCTGGGACTATGTACCTCCAGGATGTAGGAAGGGTGTCCTATGTAATTAGAAATTACAATTCTTTATTAGGAAATTTTAAAATCAATTATTGTTCCCCCTCGCCCATAAAGGATACTACGCTTGACAAAGGCCTGGCTAGTTAGGGTAAAGAAGTAGTGAAACCTATAGGAGTCACAATTGGGGTGTGTGTGTGTGTGTATGCACAGGTGTGTATATTAGAGAACCTTTTATTTATCAAAAATAATCTAGGTCTGAAAGGGTGGAAAAACTTTGGCCTGGAGAGAATGAACAGGGAGACCGGTTAAAGGTTAAATTTTTTTTTTTTTTCTCAGTGGGGCTTTTCTGGCATCTAAGTACTATTGATTTAATGGCCCGCCGTTGGTAGACAAGAAGGCTTCTGAGTACAGTGCTGACTCCATGGGGTTAAGCCTTGAAGGGAAACCCATCATACGCAGAGCAGATTGTTTTAAGCCACTGTGATGTCATGGGGAGGCAAAGGAGAATTTAAGTTAGGTTGGTTGTGCCCATTTTCTTTTGAAAACGATCTAGCAGGGCCTACAGCAGGTATTTTAGTAAAGTAGCTGGCAACAGGCATAGTGATACTTATGGATCACGTGAGTTCTCCTTTCTAACTTGAAAAATTCTAAAAGCACCCTATTAATCCCAAGTAGGCATTCTGAGGTTTCTTTTCAAAGGAAAATGGCATGTTCTGCTTAAAAAAAAGGAAAAAAGAAAAAAGCAAAAACAACAACAACCAAAAAACCCCCCAAAACTCGCAACTGCATTTACCATCTAAATTTAAGGAAAGGCTTCCTGGAAAAAGTCGAGTGATGAATTTCTTTCACTTATTTCAAGTAGTCTCTGGCGTTCCTATAAATCTGAAGGATGAAAATGAACTGCTTGCTAAAGAAGAAACAGTAGCTGAAATGCGGGAAGACTCCTGCGGTGGCTAATAAGACGTCTTACGGGTTTGCACATGCAGAGGATAACCTTAAACTTGAGTTTGATATTTCACCTTGCGGCTCACAGATGAGCTGCCTTTTATTCAAAGAACAAGGCTGTCTGTTTCCGAGTGGGTGGGTGTGTACCCGGAGCGGGCGCCCTGTTGGTTTTGTGCCCTGGAAGGTTGACACAGGCAGTGGCGACTCGCGGCCACACCGGGGCAGCCTCTCCCCGGCAGGCGGCCGGGCCGGGCGGATCGGCCCGGGGAGCGGACAGCGTCGCTGAGTCCGGCTGGTTGGGATTGCCAAGCATTTAAAGGGGTCTCGAAACATCCACGTTTCCCCCTTTAACAGTTACGGCGAGCTTAGGGCTCTGGGCAAAAAGACCATGGGGAACAGGGATGAACTGAGCGGGTTTTGTTTTTTTTTCCTCCCTCGGGGAAAATGCCTTCAGCCCACGCTCCCCCTCCAAATGCCCAGGCCGCCCCTTCCCCAAAACAGAGGGAAAGCTGGAAAGGGAGGGTGGGTCCGCTCGGAAGGCCAAGCCCGCACCCGCAACCCTCCTTTCCCTCCCAACCCTGGGCCGACCGGCCCCGAGGCCGGGTGCGCCCCCGAGCGCCGCTGGGAAGGCCTGGGGGTGGGGTGGGCGTGGGGGCAGAACCCCGCCACCCCGCAGCCCGCGGCCCGCCCCCCAGGCCGGCCTGTGATTGGCTTGGGGGGCGCGTGTGCCCGCCCCGGCGAGGCGGGGAGGGTCCCCTCTGGGCGCCGGGTAGGAGGAGGCGGAGGACTGGGCGGAGAGAGCGGGGGCCGCAGGGAGCGAGCGAGGGGGCGGGCGAGCCGGGTTCCGGAGATCCGAGAGCAGGCTCCGAGAGGGGCGGAGAGCGGCGGCGGGGCGAGCGGGGAGGGAAAGCCCGGCGGGCTCCGCGCCGCCGCCCGCTGCACTGCCAGCCCGCACGGCCCCGCAGCCTTCCGGGAGGAAGCGGCGCAGGCAGCGGCCGGGGCGCGCGCTCGGGCTCCCTCACCTGCCGGCGTCCGGCAGCTCCCCCGGCGGGACGCGCGCAGGCCGGGCGCTCGGAAGACCGGCCGCCCGCGCCGCAGCCCAGCCGCCGGGGAGAGCCTCGGAGCCCGCGCGGGGCGCCGGCTCCATGGCGACCGGGTTCGGGGAGCCGGTCTACGGACTTTCGGAAGACGAGGTGAGCGGCGCCCCCTTCGCGCCTGGGACTCCCCGGGGAGTTCCCGTCCCGCGCCGGCAGGGGGTGGGGACTGGGCCGACCCCCGGGGCGCGCGTCCCCCGCGCCTGCGGCGGAACCCCAAACGCCCGGGCCCATCTGCCCGGCGCTCGCGCCCCCCGCTCCCCAGCCCCCAGCGGAGGGCATTGTTTGTAGATAAAGCGGCCCGACGCCTTCGAGCCGGGGTTCGCTCGGCCGCTTCCCCGCCTTGGGGTGGGAGGAGGGCGCGTGCTCCTCTCCGGCCCCCTGTTCCCCCTCGTCTCCCAGCCGCGTCTCCCGGGCTGTTGGGCAACTTTCCGCCTCTCGCCCCTGCCTCTCGGGAGTCCATGATGTGTGTCACGTCTGGGTCTCGGCTGGGGGCCCGCGCCGCGCGGGGGAGCCCGGGGCCGCGGAGGAACCTGAATTGTTCTCCACCCCCCTCCCCCCGGAACTTTCCGGTGGTAGTGTCAGCAAGTGCTCCGATGAGTGTGTGCTTACCCCGGTGGGAGTGGGCAAGACGCTCGAGCTGGGTGTGTCTGTCGCTCTGGCTTGCAGAGTCCAAACCGGGAGTGTAGATCTCAGGGTCTTTTCGGTGGGGGAGGACGGCCAGCTTGGTGGCAGGTGCTACTGGAAACTTGGAGGAAGCTTGCAGCCCTGCCATTTTTTTCCCCCTCCCGAGGACTCAAAGCCCGGCACCTCCGGGGTAGGTGGAGAGACAAAAGCTCAATTGATCGCCTTTATTAATAAAGCACATCAAATAAGCCACGCCCCCAAGGCTGTCGGTTTGAGTGGAAAGAGCTTTGTTTTTACCCTCACTCTCTCCTCGCGGTTTCCTACTCCCCCCTTTGGAAACGATCCTCAGCTACGCTCGGCTCTTATTGGTGTGTTGCTCTGCCAAAAAGGGGGGTGGGAGGCCTGTCGCTGGCGCGGCGTGACCGGCAGCCTGGATGGAGCAGGTAGGAGGGGTTTGCCATCTGGCGGGGTGCGAGCTCAGGTCTGGCTCCCCTTTCGAGAGGTGAATTTACAACCCATGAAGCATTACTCAGCAGGGAGGTATTTCCTATCCTGGTTGTGCATTTCATGAAAAGTTGATGCCTGGGAATTCAAGGATTTCTGGCTTTCTCTTTCTTCCTCTCCTTTCTTTTCTGAGGTCCCCTCTTTCTCTGGTGTTGGGGGTGGGGTTAGTGGAGAGGCTATTATCTAGACCTGCCTACGTTATGGCTTCTCTCTCACCAGCTTTGCTGCTCTGGTATGGGGTGTGTGTGTGTGTGTGTGCGTGCGTGTGTGTGCGCGCGCGTGCTTTGTAAGTGTGTAATGGAATAGTTATCTTGGGGTGGGGAGAGTGGGGGTATGACTTTTTCTTCACAGAGCTAGGTAAGGCTTGCTGTGGTATGTAGTTTATCAAAGAATGATCACAATGCAAATAATGTGTGATTTAACGTTTTTGATTATTTTGCCATGCTGTGCTCGTGTAAAATAATTTCCCTTTTTGGTGCAGTTACCTGGGGATGGGTGAAAAGGATCATTGTTTCTTTCACCCAGGGGGTTCTCCTCTCCCAGGCTCCTCTACTCTTTGAGGAGCTTTCCTTTTCATTCTGTACTTCTCCATTTAATTAGCAGCAGTAAATGGCAGGCAGTGAGCTCTTAGAAAGGTGCTGAGATACAGACATTCCGAAACAAAGGGCTTTTGAGGTATTGGGGGGAAGACAGCTGCGCTTCAGCTCTGGTCTGTCTTGTTCTAAATTGTATGATTTTTAATGGCGTGCTGAAGAAAAAGATATTGACAGTGTTTTGGGAAATTCAACTGCATAAATGAGTCCAATGCATGTCCCTGTTGTTTATTCTTTGTTTACATTTATATCCAGTGTCACCATCTACCTAGCATACATCTTGCCTCTTTAGATGAGTTAACTCAGATCTTCTTAACTGGTGTCCAGTGTGAAAGTGAAGGATGGAATATACACAGAATTGGGGTGCGTGTGTATGTGTTTGTGTGTGTGAATGGGTTCACTCCTGTATGTCGCTAGAGGGGTGTTGGGGCTGTGTGGGGAACAGCATGAGGTGATGAAGACATTTTCTTGATTGAGTGATGGCTATGTTGCTGGTACTGTTGAGTTCCCCAGCATTATATTACAAAAGACAAGTCGCATCTGTTGTCTTTTTTCAGCTGCTTCTCCCAGTGAAAAAAAATAAGGCAGGGCTGTTTTGATGACTTCACATTTCTATGGTATTTGCTTTTTATGGGAGGTTTCATGCCGTCAGGTTAGCCTTTGGAAAATCAGAGAATGCCTTCGTAGAATATTAACAAATTGTTGAATTTGCACAGCTTGTTTTTGTCCCCCTGAATCAGGCAGTGTAAGAAAACAAATGAAAGATCTTAACAGGCTCCTACGGCAGGCAGGATGATGACACCGATGGCAGGGTTGATTTTCCAAGGCGTGTTAAATATGAGTGCACTTCAGTTTACACACTTGGTGTGCTGGGGAACATCACATCTGAAGATAGTTTGATGGCTACATAAGAGTTATCTTACACATCTCTTAGCAAAATAGGTGTCCATACCTAGCACAGTTCTTAAAAGTTAGTTTGTGTTTTCTTTGGAAGTTGATGGACAGCATTGTGTGTTTGGAGTGCACTTAGTGTCCTGTCCCATCTCAGAAACATTTCTTTCACTGTAAGTATTGCTGGTGATGAGGCATTGCGGTGGGATGCCAAGACAGAGGACCATGCTCCTAGGTCTCTCCAGCTTGTAGAATGAAAAGGGTTAAATACGGGCTTTACTTGTGTAAGTGCGTGGACTGTTTATCTTTTGTGTCTTACTGGCTGAGGTTCCTCGAGAGGTAGAGTTCATATTTACTGATTTAAATCCGGTCACCTTAGGGAAACCAAATTTGAAAATTGCCATCAGATGAAGGACTTTGGTGTTGAGAGATTAGCACATTAGCAAAACTTGTGATGCAGGGCCCAGCATCAGATTTGGTTTGGAATCAGAACAGTTGGACTGGTTGCTGCATCTGGCTTGGTTCCTTGTCAGTTTTTTGTTTTGCTTTTTGTTTTTATTTTATTTTTTTTTGGCAATGTGTAGCACTTTTTGGCAGTTTACTTGGGAATATAAACTGTTAACCTCTTGAAGTCTTTTATTACAACGTCTTGGAAGGTATACTTCATTGAAAAGATTTCTGGGTGAAACACTAAAGTCTGAACGACAGCTTTCTTATTAGATGTGGCAGCTTTTGGATGGTTACAGTGAGGCAGATGGCGTAGAAATGAAGGCCAGGCTGACGTAGGACAGTACTTTGACACCCTCCCTCTGTGTTTTATACAAACAAGAATAGTTGGCTAATGTTTCATATTGTCTATGCTGCACTTAGCACTGTGTTAAGGTTTTATGTACTTGTGGTCTCATTTAATCCTCATGAACCTCCCCCCCCCCATAAGGGGTGCTGAGATTTACAGATGAGGACTGGAGGCTCAGAGATGTTAAGTGACCTGCATAAAGACACACAGGAAGTTATGGAGTCAGGATTGGAACTCTGTTCTTTTGATTGCGCAGCCCTAGTTTTTAGCATTCTTCCTCTCTTCCAAGTATCTTGAAAGGTTTTCATAGTTAGATTGTTGAGGTTGATTTGCAATGGAGATGAACATCAGAAGTTGTAAACCAAAGACTTCTAGTTCTGAATGGACCAGGAGGCTTGCTTAGTAGTATGGTCTCCACTCTGTTTTAAAGCTTGGGAATTTTTACAGAAAATGGCAAAAATCTGACCTCATTGGGGCTCCATTCTCACCTGGCAACAATGAGTGGGTCCATGTGGTGCCCTGGAGATGTGATAGCTGTGCTGTATTTGCTAGCATCCCCACTACTCCTTATTGTTTTAGGGTTCCATTTACTCCATAACAAACCTGTAAGATTTAACTGTTGGCATAGGTATATTTTCTTTAAGATGCGGTCAACTTTAAGATGCACCATTATTTTATGTACTGCTAAGACAAAGAAAAAAATTGGTCACACTATGATACACCATTAATTTTATGAAGCATCCTTATTTCAGGATGTTTTAGAATTCCTGACTCTCATTGGAAACCTGGGATAGCCCTGGGCTGTCAGTTTCAGTAGGTTAGTCATTCAACGCTTTCAAGTCAGTTGCTGGTCAGATTTTTGCCTGTTTCTGAGAAAAGGGGTCGCGTCAGAGGAATGCTCTTTTTTTTTTTTTTAAAGATTATTTATTTATTTATTCATGAGAGACAGAGAGAGAGACAGAGGCAGAGGGAGAAGCAGGCTCCCCGCGGAGCAAGGAGCCCGATGCGGGACTCGATCCCAGGACCCTGGGATCATGACCTGAGCCGGAGGCAGATGCTTAACCGACTGAGCCACCCAGGCGTCCCCAGGGGAATGCTCTTACCTGGGCATTGGCAGAGAAGAAACAGGGAGCCTACAAGCTAGGCCACCTGAATAGCCATCTGTAAGTAATTCAGAGTGGTCGTTAATTTTTCAGAAGTGGTCTGTGTTTTCAAGAGATTACTTGAAACCCTGCATGCCGTCTTTGTAGCTGTGCAAAAATGATCACAAGATGGCTTTTGGAAATCAGTTAAGATATTGTCTGGACTAAAGGTGGATGCTGAACAGCAGTTTTGTAGAGGGAGATAAAACTTTGCCCATTTGTTCCAACTCCAGATGCTTGAATCAAGCCTAGCTGTGCTGGTTGGTATGCTTTATGCCTAGGACACGAGCAATATTCGAGTTACAGTCTGCATTGTGATTGCTAACATTGAAGAAAAACCCTACAAGGGCCTAGGTTTTATTGTGACATTTAAAAGCAATTTTATAAACTGGCGAATATAATGTATTGTATTAAAGTTCTACTCTCATTAGATTTTTATTTTCTTCAAGGGTTCTTTGGCAGTTGTAGAAACTGACATTTTAATTTATTTTCAGTTTAAGTCAGAAGGTTTTAAATTATCTCATTCCTGAAAAGCAGTTTCCTTAACTTAAGGAATAAAAATAATTTTTGTTCAAAGGAGTGAGGACTGTGGCAAAACGGGAATCCCTAGACCATCCTGGTTTCTTTACTGTAGCAGAACACAGTTTAAAAAGTGGTTGAATGGTGCTTGGCCATCTCCTCAGTGCAGCGAGGACCCACACTCCAGGAAACTTCCTTGCAAAGTTGTTTTGTGATATTGGGAGCATTAGTATGCTTGCCATATATTTAGGAGACGTCTCCAGGAAGAAGTCCCTCACGTTAGGGAATGGTGTCACACATTGCAACAGTGCTTTTGAGTTCCTGTTAAATTGCTTCTGCACTCACTGTGAGGGAAGAAACTTCATGCTCATTGCTGGTTTACTTGCCTTCCTTCATCGAGCAGTTAAACAACATAGAAGCGCGGTAGTATGTGACTGGTGAAAGAAAGAAATCAGTTTCTCTTTGACAGATTGAGATCATCTTAACATTTTTATTTTGAGTTAAAAGGTCTGTTTGAACAGATTTTATTGGTGCCCTTGAATTTGGGTCCTAGATGAATAGCAGTAAAATGAGATTTTAACTTAAGAGTTTTCAGGTGTTCTGATTTTGTAGGTCTTTGAAGTGTTTTTGGCTCAGTGATCTATTTAATTGGCAATAAAGCAAACTATACTTTTGATAATCGATATTAAAGAGGATCAAAATAATATATGAATAATTATGAAAATAAGTATTAGGATAGTAGGATTGGTGAAGGCTATGAGAAGGGTGGCCAAATGTTACTTTCTGTTCTTGTATTTCTCTTCCAGGTCACCCTATAAACAAACATATCTCACTTTCTGACTATAGGTGGCAA